CGTACCCGCCCTGAATCGTGACGTGACGTACCCGCCCTGAATCGTGACGTGACGTGCCGTGCCTGCTCTGGATCGGGACGCGACCTGTCCGTGTAGTTGAAATAATGTCACGCCCCGGCCGTGTAGCGTTCCGCTGTGGTCCGTGTCCAGTCGGTGGCCGTGATCGTGACCGTGATCGTGATCGTGACCGTGACCGTGACCGTGACCGTGACCGTGCCGGCGACGGTGACGGTGACGGTGACGGTGACGGTGACGGTGACGGTGACGGTGCTGCCGTGTGCCGCCAGGCCGTCGGGCGGCGCAGCCAGCCACACCCAGCAGCTGCTGCTGTGCCTGCCGGTGCTGCGGCAGGTGGACCCGGCCGTCAAGCAGTTCTGGCTGAACACGCGTCGCGACGGCAAGATCCACATGGACAAACTGTTCATCGAGATGCTGCAGTCGCAGGCGCGATAGTCCGCGGCGCCGTCAGCGTGCGTCGCCGCCGCCGCCGCCGCCGCCGCCGCCGCCGCCGCCGCCGCCGCCGCCGGCGCCGCCGCCCCGCGGAGCTGGTCCGGCCGGCGGCGGCGGCCTGCCGATGATCCGGGCGCGACGGCCGGCTGTGATAAGCCTGCCGCCGACAGAAGGCGACTCCTTGGGCGGGTGACGCCGCAGGACCACACTGTGCCGCCGCGCGTCACCTCTGGCGGGGAGTGCCAGAGGACGTACAGAGTGCCGCGAGTGCCACCTCTGTGATGGGGAGTGCCGGAGCACGGTCACAGCCGAGCGCGCCGGCGACTGGCTTGTCCAGTAGCTCTTCCCTTTTCTAAGATCTTTTAGTAACAAAGTCTGACTTATGGATTGTTTGTAGCCGAATCGAATCTTGTTTTGTATATTCAATAGTCGTGTACATTTTACAGTGCTGTATTTTTTAGTTGTTCAGCAGCATATGTATGGGCATTGGTATTTAGTGCAGCGGGCGGGACCCATTGGTGTCACAGTGTTCTCTCACCCTTTCTTTCTCAGCTTTCGTATGTGCCCGCGTTCCCTCTCTGTCCTCAGTCTCTGCCCTCCCTCGTGTCTGTGATGTGCCTCTGTGTCGCTGTGCGTTTTCCCTGTGGCGCCCTCCAGCGCCACAGCCCTGCGAGCCCTGTCCTCACTCCGTCAAGACCACGCTGTAGGCATGCAGCAGTAGGCGTAGGGATTTCATACGGTGCGTGAGTGTGTCCGCGTGAGTGCGTGAAGCTCGCGTGCGGTCCGGTTCCTGAGAGTCCGTGGGCCCGCGCCCGCGCCCGCGCCGCCCGGTCGCGCGGGTGACCCGGCGCGACGGGGGCGGCCGCTGTCCGCGCCGACGCGGCCGCCGGTCGCTGGTCTGGCCATGATCTGAGCGGCCGGGGACGGCCCGGCGCCGGCCCCGGACCGCCGACGTCCGGCGAGTCGCACGGCCGGGCCGAGGCTCGCGCCCGCCGGCACCGCGACGACGGAGCACGGCGGTGCCGCCGCCGCCGCGGCGTACTGGGACCAACGGCGACCGGGCCGCGCCGAGCCGGGCCGTCGCCGGCGATGGCGGTGCCCGGCGGCTGGCGGCCGATCCCAGTGTACGTAGCAATAGCGACGCGTCGGCGAGGGTTCTCTGCAGTCTCCGGGCGCAGGCAATGCAACTCAGGTGATGCCCTGCGCCCGCCGCGCGGTGGCGCCGCCTGGCGGCCGCCACGCCGCGTGCCGCCCTCTGTACAGAGCGGCCGGAGCGGGCGCCGCCGCGCCCGGCCCCGGAGGCCCGCGCGCGCGGCGGCCGCGCCCAGCTGCGCCCCGGTGCTTTAGTCTCCCCGTTTTGTTGGTTACGCCATCCGAATACCCCGCTTCTCCGAGCCCGGATGTGTTTGTTGAGTTTCTGGACAGCGGTTATTTATTGTTTTAGGCGCCGACCGCTGGCCGGCCGCCGCACGGTGTCCGCCGCGTTAGCAGCCTGTGTAGCCTCCGCCTTGTTTCAGTTCGCGTTCGCTGGTGCCGCCTCGGCGCCGTGGTGGTTTGGTTATCCCGGCCCGTTGGCGGCACTTTTGATCTGGCCCATGCTTGGGCGTGCCCCGGCACGTACTCGTGTCGCGGGTTTGTGCGTCGCTTCGTCGCGCGCGACCGACCGACGATCTCGCCCCGGGCGAGGTCGTGCCCTGCCCCCTTCTCCCTCCACTCCGCCGTCGCCGTGCCCCGCCTGTCCCTCATCTTTGTATGTATGAGCCAATTCTGTCCAGTACAAACTTTTTTGTATTTAAACAGGCTAACCGGACTGCCTAATAAAGGTGGAAACAGGTGCGCGTTTGTTTCGTCCCGGGTGCTGATCTGTTTGCGATTGGCGTGCTCATGGCTGTGTGCGTGTGAGGTCTGAGCCGGACTGATGACTCCCGCAAATCAGATGCAAATCGCCATGAATATTGGGCCAGAGCGGCAGCGTTCCACAGAAAAAAAGGTTACAAGCTCGTGTCATGCGAGCTAGTGTCACAACTCGTGTCGCTGACTGCTGCGAACGCGAAGAATCGCGTGGCTTATATACAGAAGTGGCCTGGCGGCGAATGGGACCTGGTCGCCCAGGCCTCCACATGGAAATGTCAACGGGTACTAGAGCGCTGCAGAGCAACTTCACGTAGTGGAGATGTCGCCTTATGTAACGCGGACAGCATTCTTGCGTCCTCTCCAGAAATGCACTGCATGAAAACCCGATGCAGGGGAGGCTGGCCCCCGATCTGTTCAGTGGTCTTACCGGAACGACCAATACACAACACCGTCCAGTCGCCGAGCCACGGAGGGAAATGCTGCGAGGAAAAGACCAAAAAGTGCGAACGATTGCGCCCCTGGATGCAGCATTGAGAGCAGATTTGAGCTGTCATTGTGAATGCTTTTGCCGTGAAGAAGGCCTGCGCGGTCCATGTCCGAGCGCTGACATGGCGAATAGGCATAAACATACTCAGTTGTATACCTCCAATGGGGTTATCCTCTCAACGTGTCGTGTGCACAGGTGTTCATCAGATGAAAACGAGCGCATTCGAAGCCCGATAATTTAAAGGACACCCGCGGGACGCCCATCGCACCGCTTCAAACCCATCTGCCACCGGGAAGCGGCCATCTGGTGCGGCAGGACGTCTCCCGGCCGTGACGCCGCACGGGAGTGCCGCCCCGCTGACCCGGGCCGCGCGCGCTGACCCGGGCCGCGCGCGCTCACCTTCGGCTGGCGACCGGGCGCGTCCGGTCGATGCGCATCGACGTGCGCGGTCGAGCGACGTCGGGGCGCCGCAGACGTGGAGATACAAGGCGGGGTTTTCCTCGTGGTGGCAGTGGCGCGCTCCGCGTCACGTCACGTCGCGTCACGTCATCTGCGGTCGGCCGTTTTAAGGCAGATGGAGGTGGAGTGGCGTAATCACGGTGCCGCGCCACTGACGCCGCGTTCTCGGAATGCAGCGCTTCTGGCTTGCGCTTTTGCGTGACTGCTCAGTCAGTCCAGACGGGCGTGCGGTGCCATGCATGTCATGGCACGTGTTAGCAGGGAGGAGAGCTACAAGACTGCGTACCAAGATGGTGGCGCCCAAAGGGTCGTCATAAAGGAACTGCTTTTTGAACGCGTGGGATGTTAGTAGAATGCAGTTCCATGGTAGATTGTTGTTCCATTGTAGCTTCGCGTTGGATAATTATGACTTATATGTGCAGTGCGCCAAGAAAATACTCATTTCAATTGGAAGGGTTTTGATGGACGATAGTTAACAATATGGTGGCAGCTGGTGGTTAGCTGAGCCATGCTCGGAACGCCAGCCATCTCGCAAACTGGAACATCGCAACAACTGATCACGGTGAGACGCAGTTAAATTCCGCATCACTTCGTTTTGACTTTCACGCTCCATTTCGCTTCAGGGGAGATGATTCCGAGTGTGAATCACAGCGCATGCAGGTGATTCTAATCTGGGCTTCTGGTGGGGATCAGCAGAACTTTGAATCGATTCCGGTTCTGGCGTAATGATCTATTGTTTGTTGTTAGGACTGATTCCGATAGCCGATTCAGACGACACGGATTCCAATGAAGTCGGTTCATGTGGCAATGGAATCGGAGGTAACCCGTTATGTTATGTTTTTAAAGCTCTTATAGATGCATTTATTTTGATTATATTTTTTAAAGATTTGGTCCGAACTCTTTGAATGGCTGGATTTCAGGGATCAGAGCTCACGCTAAGCAGTGCTTGTTGTGCGAACCCTGACCCCTACCACCCGATCGCGCAATTCCATGTCAAGGGCAGAATTTGGGTTCGAAAGCTTAACGTGCCGCAATGCTCGACACGGTCCGTCCTACCCTCTGATGTCAACTGACCTTCAACGCGACCACTGCCACCGGCCGTAGGCCATACCTGTCGAGGGCAAACAGCGAGCGTCCTAAAGCGACTCGAACCCACCCCGCCACGGATGGGTGGATCGGAAGACAGGTGCTCTAACCAACTGAGCCACTGGGACGGACTAATTATAATATATTTGCATACGTGTATGAATTATTGTGTGCGCCTAGGTGTGAGTATGAATGTACAATCATGCGTATATTTGTGTCTCAGTCGACTCACTGACGATCTGGTTCACCCAACTGACTCCGACCGACAACACAACTCCAAACTTCGACTTCACCTTGACCCGTCCAAACGTCGGTTAATTCCGCAGTCGTTTCCGATCCGGGATCAGCCACATAAGGGTTTTGCGGTCCTTGCTGATTCCTCGCGCAACAACGAACAGTATCACACGTTTTTGCGTCTGGGCATCCCCGCATGTCAGCTTCGTCTCAGCTCGAAACTACAACAGCCGCAAGCCACCCAGCCTCGCTGTTGCTAGGCCCGCGGCTATAAATTTGTGACCCGCTGGCCGACCGCTCCTCGAGAACGATCGACCCAGCTTGGACCCTGTTACGCCGCACCGCCGCCAGGTGTCTCTGCCGGCCGTTGGCAACGCGTAGTGCCGGCCGCCGCGATCAGCTGATCGGCCGGGCGGCTGGCGCGGCCTCTGCCACCGGCCATTCGGTCTGTGACTGGGAACGCCGCTGGACGGTACGGCGGGGAAACGAGGCGCGCCGCCATGAACGGAGACGTGGGCAACAACAGGATCATCGCCTCGGGCGAGAAGAAGGTGGCGATCGTTGGCGGTGGACTGGTGAGTACCGGCGGCGGCGGCGGCGGCCGCGGCGCTGGGGGGCCGGTGTGACCTGGGAACCGGCCAGCCCCGGGTTTATCCAGCCATCTGACGTTCGAAATGGCGCTCCCCTGACCGTCCTTCTGCGAACCGTGCTGGCTGTTGGCCGGTCGTCAACGCGGTCCTCCTACGTGGCTGAAGGATCCTGGAGGCGTGGGGGGGGGGGTCTAATTGACCGATCGCCCACGCTGGGACCGGCCGCCGGTTGTGCAGCCCGCCATCCATGCTGCGGCAGGTACGGCGCGCCAGGGGCGACGCTGGAGGACACGGCTCTGGGGTGACGCGGTAGGAGGGAGAGGAGTGTGTGCTCAATGTACCGCTCTGGAGTGCTTCTGAGGAGGGGGAGGCGAGTGTGCTCGACGTACCGCTCTGGGGTAACGGGAGAGAGGAGGGAAAGGGGTGCGCTTAATGTACCGCTCTGTAGTGAGCTCGACACTCCGCTCTGGGGTGACAAAGGAGGAAGAGGAGGGAGTGCGCTCGACTCACCGCGCTGGGGTGACGCGGGAGGAAGAGGACGGAGTGCGCTCGGCTTACCGCCCTGGGGTGACGCGGGAGGGAGTGGAGGGGGTGCGCTCGACTCACCGCTCTGGGGTGACGCGGGAGGAAGGGGAGAGAGTGCGCTCGACTCACCGCTCTGGGATGACGCGGGAGGGAGTGGAGGGGGTGCGCTCGACTCACCGCTCTGGGGTGACGCGGGAGGAAGGGGAGAGAGTGCGCTCGACTCACCGCTCTGGGATGACGCGGGAGGACGGGGAGGGGGTGCGATCGACTCACCGCTCTGGGTTGACGCGGGAGGACGGGGAGGGGGTGCGCTCGACTCACCGCTCTGGGTTGACGCGGGAGGAAGGGGAGAGAGTGCGCTCGACGCACCACTCTGAGGTGACGCTGGTTCTGTGGCCTGGCAGGTGGGAGCGCTGAATGCCTGCTATCTGGCACGGCACGGCGTGGAGGTACACCTGTATGAGTACAGAGATGGTACGTAACTTCCGCGCGTGGATGTGTTTTCTGTGCAGTCGGCAGTGAAGAATAGCATTTGTGCTCGTTTAGTACGCTTGTCATGTGTTGTATTATCCAACATTTTTTGTGTTATGTAATTTATTGGGATGATGTATAAATGTATATTTTACAAGAGTGTAAAACTACGTCTTAAAATAGAGTTTAACATTATTCATTTATATATATATATATATATATATATCTGATGTCCAACTTTGCATCACACGTCAGAATAAGGTGTGCAAAATGGAGCAGGGCAGCCTTGGCCTGGTGCAGAGGAGATCCATCACCAGAATAATCCTGCCGTTTCGTAAGCATTGGCTGCATGCATATTATCGAGGTGCAGGACGAGTGGCACGCCTTGCTTTTACTAAGCAGCACTGAGTCGCTATTAAATAGAAATTCAGTACGTCAATACTATATTGCATTGCGACGTCAGTGGGTTATAGGTGCCCTCACGTAGCTTCACGAACGGCGAGCAAGTAGCACGAGCGTAACGCCAATTTCAGGTGACGAATAAATGAGCAACTTCAAGAGGCCAGTGCCGTAACACAAACAATGAGGCATCCGTCAGCTAACTCAAACTCTTGTGAACGAACTTACAAATACGAGACGCATGGCCCCAACCAGAACAGATTGTAGTCTGAAGTGGCTCCAGCTACTGTAGTTCGTGTAGGCCTTGCTGCATGTTCGCGAGCATGGCAAATGCCTGGCCGCTATCTCATAAACATAACGTTACATGCGTCCGTCCGACTGCATTTGCTTGATCGCCTCTCGGCCGTGTCATCGAGTTGGGTGCCAATCGTCAATGTCGATGTCTGTGTCAATCAGCAAATAGTCAGCAGTCCAACGGTTAAAAGTTCATGCTTGGGTTTTGGTTCCTCGTGCCGTGCATCCGGCAGCACGCGATCACGCACCACTGGCGGGACACTGGGTTGGCGTCGGGACCAAACGCACCGTCAGATGGGCGCCGGGCACCCGAGCCCTCCGGATAGCTCCTGGGCATCAGCTCCACACCTAACGGGAGCTGCACATCAGATATGTGCATCCAGAGTGTTGAATGGCCTTGCCATCCATTGAGCACCGCCGACCGGTGGAGTTCTCGGAAAGCAGCGCCCCCTGGCGCCGGCGCCGCTCACCGTCGGGCGGCGGCGTCGCGTGTGGAGGCGGCCGCAGCGCGCCGGGCCGACTGCGCCCGAGCCGGTAACTCGAGCCGGCTGCCGGGGCGGCGGCGGCGAACCGGAGCCGGCTGCGGCCGCGTCGCGGTCGACGCGCTCCCACCGGGCGCCGACGCGCCGGCTTCGCTTACCGGCGAGACGACAGGGGAGCCGCCGCTGCGGCTCAGGTGGCCGGATCAGAAGCCGGCCGCGCGGGCGGCCGGCGGCGTGAGGCGCGGCAGCGGGGTCGGGCTGGCCCCGGCCTGGGGAGGCGATTAGGAGCGTGTCCTCGCCTTCGGCTGGTGTGGAAATTAAGCCACCGGTGACGATGGTGGGGAGGGATCACGCTCGGTACCGACAGGTGCCGTGCATTGTGTGAGCGCGGTGAGATCAGGACCGCACCCAGGACCGCGGCGGGATACCCCCACGGGGCGGCTGTTGGGACCCTCGTTCCGGATGGTGGGACCCTCATGGGACGGGTGGTCAAGCTGTGACTCACCACAGGCGGCCGTAAGGGGCAGGTCCCCTGCCACGCAGGTGTAAGCGTCTGACGCACCTGGTCAGATTTTAGAGATCAGATCTACGCGATGCATTTTTTTCATGACTAACGGCCGATGCCTTGGATCGGTTTGAGGATATTACAACCACTGTCCGGTACGAATTCAGCAGGCATGAAATCGACGCACGCCTGGAAGGGTATCACACGAAAACATGCCACCATCTGTCGAGACCGGACGTTTCTAAGCGGCTCAGACCCGGGCCCGGAACCGATCGGGATCAGACGATCCAGCCGGCGGATTCCGGGCCGGCCAGGGCACGTGGCCTTGCTCCCGGCCGTCTCCAAGGCCCTGGCGGGGCACGTCAGCACGCGTGCGTGTGGCCGCTGTCGGCCTGGTCCATTAGGAATACGGCCGCTGTCGGACCCCCAAGGCCGGCGCCGATGAAGCGTGGCAGCGTATCTTGGGTGGTAAACAAGCTCACGGCATGCCTGTGAGCTGACTTGTCAGTTTTTGCGTGTGATATGATCAAGGCAGTTCACTGCAGCTGGTGGTTATGTTTGAGCTCGCGTTAATGATCGGAAGATCATTTTTGTTTTCGGTTTCTTGCAGCGTATTATATTCCGAACTGCCATGGTCAACATCTGCAGGCCATGGAATTTTCGGTTATTTCTGGCCATGGAAAAAAATGCCAAAATCGTGCCTGTCTTGGGGCATGTTGGTCTGCCCCCGGCGCATGCTTCACTCGTGTCTGTGCGGCCGAGCCAAGTTCGCTAGACCTTACCTGTGGGCACCGTGGCTCGTTCACCACCGCAGCACCGTGATTCATTCCCTTATGTTGTTTCGCACGCGCCGTCTTGACTTAAACTGACTCTGCTGCCGTTCCTCTTGCAACGCAGCACTAAGTTTAAGCACTGTTTAACAGCACTAAGCGCTGTTAAACGAAGCTCCTCGTGGCGGCCGGCTGCGGCTGCTGCGGCTCTGAGCACCGTCGTGGCCAGCTGCGTGCGAGCCTGGCCTGTCGATCCCAGCCATCCCTCGACGCACCGACAGCGGTGTCTTCCGCACCGGCAGACATCCGCCAGATGGAGCACGTGGCGGGGCGCAGCATCAACCTGGCGCTGAGCTTCCGCGGCCGCAGCGCGCTCGCCCGGGTCGGTCTGGAGCAGAAGGTCATCGAGCAGCACGGCATCCCGATGTACGGACGGATGATCCATAACCCGGACGGCAGCCGACGCTCCATCCCCTACGGCAAGGCGGACCAGGTCAGTGGCGGCCGAGGGCGGGTCAGAGGCCGGGCTGGGTCAGATGAGGGGAGGGCGAGGCGGACCAGGTCAGTGGCGACCGAGGGCGGGTCAGAGGCCGGGCGGGGTCAGATGAGGGGAGGGCGAGGCGGACCAGGTCAGTGGCGGCCGAGGGCGGGTCAGAGGCCGGGCTGGGTCAGATGAGGGAGGGCAATGTGGGCAAGGCCAGGCCGGCGGGGAGGCAGGGTTGGTCACGACAGGTCGGCAGTTCGGTCGTTCCAGTTCGGTCCAGGCTTATCTGCGGTGGCTGGGACCAGGACCCAGTTTCATAAATGAAAGTTACCTCCGACCCCTGGCGGGCCGAAGTAATTTCGGCGTAGCTTCCTACTTCCCTTGCGGGTTTTACAAACCGGCATCACCGCTCCGAAAAGGATCGTAAAATGTCGAGGCTGAAGTAATTTCCCCGGCACGCCCGTTCCTTGTCAATGACAACCATATTTGTGGCGGGCAAGCGCCCCTGGCGGCGGTTATCCTTCTAGGTACTTCGGCGAATTATCGATGAAAAGCGCCCATGCTCAACACTTACCCCCCCCCCCCCCCCCCACTTTCTTCGGCTGTTTTGGACCCGGAACGAGCGCGATAAGTCAGGATAGGTTGAGGTAGGCGCTGTTGCCGAGGATGAGAGTGCCGGCCGCTGGCCCTCCGTTCTCAAAGCTGCAGCAGTTGAAATAACGACATACAGTTGACACAAACAGTGCAGCCATGACTGGCGCTCTTTTGCATTTTTTTACCGCCAGTCGACTTGGGATGTTTGATCACCATTCTCTATAGAATGACCACTTTGCTTAGCACATGATGGCAACACGCAATGATGCGTATAAGGAAGCATGTAAGACAGCGCCATAGCTGATGGCATGCTTAAACCAAAAGCTTGCAATTAAGTTGCGTCAGCACGTGACGTTTAAATATGTATGAGCTAATCGCAAGCATCGTTTCTTCACAAAAGCACGACATTTACAACTCGATCGCGCCAGACGTCCGCGAAACAGGGGCGTCATGGACATGGCCGGTCTCGTGGGCCGGGAGGGCGAGCACCTCACTGTCCGGTCCAGCGGCGACCATCACGTTAAGGCTCGTTTGCCCTTTGCGGTTCGTATACCGGTCGACTTTATCGGTTGCCACGAGGAAGTTCACGTGCGTCCCATCTCCGCACCCTGAAATACATATCCGGAAGCATGAGATTCCTTTCTGAATGCAGAACGGAGCGGAGAGCTTCACCCAAACTAGAGGACAAAACTGTAGAATTACACGTGCATCGTTTGGCGACCAATCGCAACAAATACCTTCGAAATAACGTCACGATTGTGAGGTGTGGAGCGCTACTTGACGGTGTGCGTGATGGGTGAACGTGACGATTAGGGCGATCCAAGGCGTGATAGGTGTAGGGCCGTCGTGCGGATGTGTTTCGTTGGCAGCAGGCCACTTGCCTGCAACAGCCAGAAGGCCCTGCCTACGGAAAAAAATTTTATCTGGGCTTTTTGGAGCTCTTGTCCAGTCGGGCACGCCACGGCGCCAGCTAGTCGAGCCTGTATTGCCGCGCTTGCACGATGGATGACGTGGCATGCAGTCGTCTTCGGCAGTCTAAAGGCCGTCAGCCACAAGCAAATAAACCCGGCCGGATACAAAGAACCTGAAATTAAGGTCCCACTACATTTTTATGTTTCCAAACATTCTTTGCATAGCCTGCGACGTAGTAAACAAACCACATGTCTTGTTGGTTATTACACGTGGCATTCCTTTCCAATAGCGTGAGATTTCCTCGCTACTGCCACATGTTGCGCGTGCAATGCGATGAGTGCACTACACGCAGCATAAACGAGATGACGTATTGACGTCCGGCTGATGGTGCCAACAGTACCAGCCATGGATATGGTACATCATATCCATCATACATCATATCATGCCTATCTATGACCAATGCTTATCACAATTACCTCATACATAACTATCAATCTGCCTTCACATGTGGCAGAATTACTTTCACATCATTCACCTGAGCACGGTGAGCAGCTGTTCGCACGGTGCTAGTGCACGGTGCCGCCGGGCGAGGTGGGCTAAATCAGGGCCGATTTAACCTATCAGATCACAGCAGAGATCTGAAAACAGTTCCTGGAAGCATGGGGGGATTACGAGCATTGGCGTGTGATGTAAAGACAAAAAAGTATGCGAGTGTAAGGCTGGAGGGCTCGTTTTAAGAACAACAAGCTGTTACGCCTCTGATATATGCTGCAGATCCTCGCACTCCGCCAGTCGTCATGATATTTATGTGTAGGTAAAATGAAAATCATCTTTCCATTTGACATCAACTTAGCCGGCACAACGGCAATGCCAAAGCAAATGACCAAAACACTCGTCGTCATGTAGTTACGGTGTCGGGAAAACCAGGCGGTTTGAAACCCATGCTTGTTCATATAGAAAACGTAGGACAGTCACCACCATCAGAGATGCAAGTAAAATAAACGTATTTTCCGGAATGATCTAGACATTTCCCACGTATGTTCATCCGTTCGAAAAACGTCTTACGCCTCTGCTCTTGATTTTGCGCTGGCTCTTCTATGACCACAGCTGTTCATTTTACCACGATGCAGGGCATCTTTTTATTTTACTTCACTTTCGACGTAAAATTTTACTCAGCGGCCAAATCAGTTGCGTTTATGAAACCTGGCGGGTGGTTGCTGAAGTGTGTAGAAGAATCCTAACCCGCTTGCTCCTGTGAATAGTAAAATTCGATGTTGAAGTAAATAATTGCTTTTACACTAGGCAACCTGACACGAAGTAAAAACTTGGACAGCTACTCCCTACGCCAGAACTGTGCGCCATGCTCTCTTAACGCAATTGGTTACAGGTCGATTTGTGTATCAGGTTACACAAGGTCAGACACTCGCATAGGAGCAAACCACTTTATGTCCTCATGACTGGTCACGTAAGGTCAACTTGTGTGCTCATCAATCCACACCTGATGCGTCCCGTATGTCGCGTCGCATCAGGTTTTTTGCATAATGTTTGCATCAGGTCACACCAGGTCAGTTCCATTCAGCGCTTGTGACGTCACAGGATCTGGCATGGCTGGTCAACCATTCCGGGGCTCAGGTTTGGCTTTCAGACTGCGCTGCATCGCTCCAGGAGTCGTTACCAGGCAGATCTCCATACACCTTTTTGCACCGTTGCACCACTGCACATACACATCTATATACACCTTTGTGCATCCCCATACACCTTTTTGCACCGTTGCAGCTGTATGTTCAGTCGCTGCTGGAATGGCGGCCCGGTTCGAACCCGGTCGGATCGTATCGTGCTCTAGGTCACAGGGCGCCTGATCGGCTGAAGCTGTCCAAACCCCAGCCGAACAAATTGTTGAGGTGATGGATTGAGGAAAGGCGCATAAAAAGTGCGAAATACTCGTGCGCGCTAACAGTGGTATTGGTCACGCATGTATCTGTGCATTTGGCTCCGATCCTGTGACGGCCTGCGTCGCCGTGGTATTCCGTCCCTCCGTGTATTTGGTTGGTGGCTGGCCTATCAAACCCCCACGATTGAAAGCACTTGAAGTGGAAAACGACAGCCTTACGGAATTAGCTGAAGGCTGGAAGCCGAATCGAACGGAAACAATGGAGATAAAATGCAAACAGATCCTACGCAAACCCCTTTGTAAGCGATATACATAAGGTTACATGGTCCGCTGGCGCCGGCGGACTTCATCGGTCTTGGCCGGCGAGGGATCCTGCCCGGGTCCCATTCAGCCGCCACCACGTGGTGCTACCGCGCCGCCGGGTCACGCGGGCTGACATTTGCACGAGCTCGCTTGCATGACCTGTTGAAGGCTTATCGTTCCATACGCCCCCGATTCCGGCCGGATAAGCGCGCTCGTGTTCGGCGCCTGCGCGCCGTCGGCCAGCACCCCTCCGGCGTTTGCTCCCGTTCGGCAGTAGCCGTGCCCGTGTGAGGTCACTGCGCGGCCAGTGGGGACTGACCGGGCCGCCAACCAGTCGCTGGCAGGGCGGTACGTCAGCGGGCCAGAGGTCCTCACCGGAAGGGGTTTGTTTTGCCGAAATCGCGTGTCATGTGTGAAGTTTTCGCCAATGGTTTGACGTCTTCTGATTTCCTAACGTCCTATTGCCTGATTAGTAACTAATCGTCGCTAATCCATGCGGCCCTTTCCACCCAGCTGTGTACTATTTTTGAACGCTTTCTGAGCGATCAAGGAGGTTGAACGATTCAGTTCTTAACACCTAACTTTACTCCTTTTGCCTCAATGATCTTTAAAAATACAATTCATTGTAGTTTGGCAAAAATGGCATAATATTTCATTATCTTCCTTCTGTAATATTTATGACATGCCCCGAAGTGTCTTCCCGACATTTCTTGGGGCTCGCACATATTCTCGTGATCTTGAGCTTCCCAAACACATCCCATCGTCCCAGGCTCTGTGACCTGAATCGGTGTGGGGCATGGGGAGCAATGGTCACCACTCACCAACAGACCCGGAGGCTCTCGGGAACGCCACTGCAACGCCACACAGGACCATGCACATTGTAAATAGGGGCATACCTTGCGCCCTGTTACGTACATAAACCATGCGGGACTGTGTTGTGAGACGGTACAGCCGCACCCACAAGGCCCATCACGCCAGATGACCCTTATATCCACATCGTGGCGCAACGTGTACGCCTGTCACGAGCAATTAGACAAACCTCACTGCGCGCCCGCAATGTGTTTATGTGTTGGCGGCAGGGGGCGTGACCGCGGTGGTGGTAAAGGGTCGGGGGCGTGGCCGGATGGCAGGCGCCGCCGCACGCATCCTGCATCCTGTCCACGCTCCGCCGCGGGCCAGCCGGCGACGCACCGAGCTGGAGAGGGCGGGGCGAAGCGCCAGCCCGCGGCCGCCGCAGGCGCCGCACGTGGGCGACCCGCTCCACCAATCAGCGGCCGCGCGCGGTGGGCGGGCCCGGGGGCGGGTCGGC